TTGTACCTATAAAATAAATAAATAAATAAATATAAAAAAATAAAAATTAAAAAAAATAAAAAGACAGGTCTAGGTCATAAATGATTTCCACAGCCTACAATGCCAAGTACTGGAATGCCAGCTTTTCTGATGCATCCATATCCAGCATCAAGGACCTAAGTGTGGTTTAGTTGTCTAAGAAAAAGTAAACTAATGCTATAGACCAAACCAATCTGTGTAGCAGTTTATTCCTCAAGCTTTCAAGAACAAAAGAAAACCATAGGGGTAAAAAATTGTATCAGTTAGTTCTGTTGTCAATACTAATTTACTTTTTTTCCCATAATTTTATTGATAAACAAATAGCAATGAGACAGTTTCAAATCAAATTGTAGGACAGTTTCAATAATTAACACTTGCATACATTCTTCTTAGTGGTTAATTGCTATACAAGATGCGGACATGATATCCTATTTACAAACACCATTAGAACAAATCATTCTATTCATTAAGAGAATGTAACTAAATATCTATCCACTAATTTACTTTTTGAACCTAATAAGAATGTATTAATTATACTGTTATAATTAAAAGTAGGAACTTGAAACATGGGAAGAACATATCAAAAATATCGTGGAAGACTAGATGACATGAAATGATGAAGAAAGTAGAAGAAGGGCTGGGGAGATGGCTCAGTAGAATAAGCGCTTGCCTGGCAAGTACAAGGGCCTGAGTTCAATCTCCGGTTCAAAAAAAAAAGTGGAAGAAAAGAACGGAACAATTTAGTAATGAAGTGAGTCATAAAGACCTGTTTTGGCCTATTAAGCAAGATGTACAGGTGGGGAGGAGGTTTATATTGGACCTCGGGTGCCATAACTGACATCCTGGGTTTAGTGGGAGTCCACTGCCATATTTAAGGGTTATAGGCATGTGCACATATGCGTTCATTTCCAACAGGTAAGTGTTGGTCATTAGATTTCACAGAAAGCAGAACACTCAGATTCGGTGTTAGGTCCTATCCATTATTTAAGAAATATTATTAGCTTAGAGAAGTACTGATGGTAAGTTTCTTTCCCTCCTACTCCATGTAAAGAGAAAGGAAGAGACATTGTTTTACTTGCCTTGCAGGCTTATTTCAAACCCATTTCAGTGCGGTTGTCGCCACCTAGTGGTGAAGGGAACTTGGGCTGTAGAACGCAAAGCTGAACATCCAGTGCAACGAGGTTGACAGGAGGTGAAGACACCCCTCGATAGCATTAATGTTTTAGTTTTTGTAACTTGGAGACACCTGTGATTGAAATGAGTTTTTTAAAAAATCACCTAAAAGTCTAGAAAACTGGGGCCAGGGAGATGGTTCAGTGGAACAAGCGTCAAGCACAGGAGCCTGAGGTCAATCCCAGGTTCCGAAAAAAAAAAAA